TTTAAAATTTTATTTTAGAAGAGTTGTCTGTCTAACAGGATATTTGAAAGTCTGAAAGTTTATCTAGTCTTTACCTTTTGAGAAAGTTGGGCTGCCTCTACTGAAAATGTCTAAAGGTTTCATTTGGAACCAGCGTTAGTTCCTTGTCCTTAAAAAAAAAAAAAAAAAAAAAGGCTAAATTGAGGTGTTAATCCTAGTAAACTAACAAAATAGTATATAGGAAAATGACAGACCCAGGGAACTGGAGGATATTCAAACCCTTCCTTTATGAAAATTTTTTTTCCCACAGCAGCTCTGGTAGACAATCATTCAACCCAAGCATTTCAAATGATAGGGAACTTCTCACACTTCAAGGCAGCCACTCCATTGCAGGATAGTGCTCGTATTTTGGAAAGATCATGGGATTGGGAATCAGAAGACACATGTCCAGGTGCAACCCATGCCTCTTTAATAGTTCTCAGCCTAACTTACCTCCTTCCCCCAAGTCTTTTGTTCCAATCTAGTGGCTCAAATTCACACTTTTTTAAAATGCCAATTCTAACCATAAGTAGGATTGAAAGGAGACGGAGTCCAGTCTTTGGGGGCTTGGCACAGCATCTCAGCTGCCATTGGCATCCTCCATTGTCCAGTCACAACAGGAGGGTGCAGAGCAAATGGATTTTATTACCAGATGACAAACCTTCAGTGGTTTCTGAGAACGATCAACGTTTAGGATGAGAAGGGACCCACAAGAGAGTACTGGTCAGGATTCAGTCAGAAAAAGAGAAACCGGCTGGCTAAGCCCAGAGTTTAATGCAGGAGATTGGGTGTATAGGTGGTAGAGAGCTGAAAACGGACAAAGCGGGCACTGAGGCTATCCAGGTAGTAATTGCAGGAAGCAACTTGGGACAGGAGGAGCAAATGGAAGAGAATCTAGAAGTCCCTAAGAGGAAACTGCCGAGCTGGGACCCAGGCCTGTGAGGTCATTGGCTGGCTATTGTTGCTTCCTCTGAGGGGGCCCATGGGGCTGGAAGCAACATGAAAGCTATGGTGAAAAACCACTGTGAGATGCCGCTGACAGGAGCCGCAGGCAAGCAAGAGGACAGCAAGGCCTCTTCTTCCCTCCTAGCCTCCTTCTGGGGCCCATGTCCGCAGAGCGCTCCAGGATCTGGGGAAGGAAGATGTGGTCTGCAGAGCCCCAGCTCCAGGATCACAGGGAGAGCACAAGAAGGTGGGTTAGGAGCCAAGACGCTAGCTTGCTCACTTGCACCAAATGGTACCCCCTTGTACACCTGAGAATCTGAGATACAGAGCATGTGAGAGAGTTGTCTAGGGCCCTACATAACAGTAGTACAGCTAGTGCTGGCCGGCATAGGGATGCAGAAATACAGTGACAACTAAAATCCACTCTTGTAAGAGAGAAAACTCTCAACTCTGAATCCGCTTAGATGGCAGAGAATTTATAGGTGTATTTAGATGAAACATTTTCAAAATACATTTTGGCTTGTAAAAGTCATACTAACTACAGTAATTTGTGTGAGTTAATTAATTACTCAGATATAGAATTATGATTTTGTAGGCTAATACTCAAGGTTAGATCAACTCAGTTGTTTTCTTTTAATTACAGCACCAAGCTTCTGGTCATATAGGCACACTTTTCATTGTTTGTTTGTGGGACGTATCTGTACACAGAACTAAAAAAAAAAAAAAAAAAGGATTAGCAGAAACATTGCCTGTTAGTGTTCTAATGAAGGCAAGGAAACGAAAACCAATGAAACTACTAGGGAATATATCCTCAAACAAGATACCAGCCCCTCCAGATATGTAATCTTCATCATATCTCGATTTGCCTGGGACATCAGAAATGATATTTTTTAGATGGTTTAAGATTACCTTAAAACATTCACAGATGGTCTGATACAGGCAGTAAAGCACAGGAAGTTTGTGAAATTTTGAATCTCAGCTCTGCCCCTTTCAAGGTGACCTTAAGTAAATTACTTTTGTTTCTTACATGTTACATAGGAATAGGAATATGCATTAATTTATTCAACAAATCCTCACTGAATGCCTACCATGTGCCTGGCATTGCTCAAAAGGTTAGAGACCAGTGAATCCCCCTGCATTCAATGAGCTTTCCTTTGCCATTCTAGAAGGCAGAAAATAAACGCAGGAATTTATAAAATGTTAGGTGGCAGTAAATAATATTAAAAGGAACAAAGCAAGATAGGCAAGGAGAGAATGATGGGAGGGATCATTTTCACAGAATGCATACAGAAGACCTATCTGATAGTGTAATATCTTAAGGGAAGGAGGGAGCCATGTGGATATCTGAAGAGCTTTCCAAACAGTAGGAACCAGAAACTCAAGGGCCCTGCAGTGGAATGTGCTTAGCAAGGATATAGTGTACAGCAAGGGATAAGTATAGTAGGAGATGAGCTTAGAGAACTGTGGGAAGGGAAGAAGGGGGCTGGACTAGATCCTACAGGGCCTTTTATTCATGGGGATCTATTACAAAGTTTAGGGAAGAGAACTGACATGATCTCACATGATCTCAATTGTCTTAAAAGAATCACTATGGCTGGATGGAAGCTAGACTGCAGGAGCCTAACAGGGGAGACAAGGGGACCAATCAGGAATCTGTAATCTAGGCAAAAAACAATGACGGTGGCTTGGAAAATGTGTTAGGGGAAGCGGTGTTGAGAAGTGGCTGGGTTCAGGTAAGTTTCAAAGGTCAAGCCAACAAAATCACTGATCTACAGAGAGAGGAAAAGTAAATGGTGATCCAGAATTTTAGCCTGAGCAGCAAGAAGAATGGAAATGCTGTTACTGAGAAGAGGAAGACAGTAGGAAGAGCTGGTTAATAGTGCTAAGCCTATTGTGAAATAATAAATCAATGCAATAAATAAGATGACATTAAAAAAAAAAAACCACAACGGTGCATTCTTGGCCCACCATAGGTGTTCAGCCAGTCTTAAATCTCCTCCCTATCCTTTATAACACTTCTTTGTTACCATGTCTTGTTCTCAGAATACATTTATGCACTACCCACACACTCTCCCACCCTTTTTATTCATCACTTCTCTGCAAATCAATATACAATCAAAACGTTTCCACATCAGTGGGAGGGTCAGCTAAACCTCACCCAGAAAAATCTCCAACAGACGATAGAATCAGCAGAGATAGGTAAATTACATTTTTAAATAAGGAAAGAAAAATATTTGATAACAAAACAACATGCATGGCAATCTTCCTAGTGCCTCAGAGTACTTAAAGTGCCTCAGTACCCTAAAAGTTTCCCTGGTATTGGTGGTTTTTTAATAGAATTTTTGTGAAGAGTAATATATAATATTTTATAAGCATCCTTTTCTTAGAATTTCTGAAGAGAGGCTAAGAAACAGAAAAGTTACCCAAAAATCTATAGACTGCTTACTGCATATATATTTCTTGGTAAAATTTCCTAGTCATTTTTATTCTTTTGCCTAAAACTTTGAAGCATATTAAAAGGAAATAAGTAATGTAAATGTCTATGCACTTGTATTAGGTAAATATGTCTTAGCAATACTTTATCCAAAGCCAATCCAAGTAATAACCAACATATAAATAGAAGCATACAGTCTAAATACAAAAAAAAAAAAAAAAAATGCTTGGTTCTTAAAATTCTTTACTGTGGATTCATTTGCGATGTCAGTATTCAGTTCACATATCTCTATACTCTTAAGAATCATCAGCATTTAATTTATGAGTGTTTTTAGTTGGAAAGATTCTGCTGCTTAAAATTCAGTTTGATTCCCTTGGTCTGACTTGAGGAATACTTACATCTTGTGTTTTTCCCAAAGCCCTCCTCTATGCTCAATTTCCCATAATTAATAGAATCTTTAATCCAAAGTAAAATGCCATGCTCACCACTTCCCTACCCCAGCTCAGGGGTGATAACAGAGAATAACAGCCCAGAGACAAATAACAACATTTGTCTCATGGTTGCTACTCTTCTACCCCCCGGGAACACCTAGTGTATGTATGGCTTCATGTCGCATTTAAAGCTGGGTATACTGATGGCTTAAGAAATCAATCCTGCAGGGGTGCCTGGGTGGCTCAGTCATTAAGTGTCTGCCTTCGGCTCAGGTCATGATCCCAGGGTCCTGGGATCGAGCCCCACATCGGGCTTCCTGCTCAGCGGGAAGCCTGCTTCTCCCTCTCCCTCTGCCTGCAGCTCTGCCTACTTGTGCTCTCTCTCTCTCTCTCTGTGTCAAATAAATAAATAAATAAATAAATAAATAAAATCTTTAAAAAAAAAAAAGAAATCAATCCTGCAGCCAGCCTAGAAGCAGCTGAGGGCCCACTGTGGGTAGGAAGCACACAAGAACAGACCAGCTTACCTGCAAGGAGCGTGTGCCTTGGATGTACTCACTAGATTCTTCAGCAGCAGAAAATAGAACACCCAGCTTTGTCAGGGAGGCATGGGGCCAACAAGGACCTTTCTCTCATGCTTGGCAAGGAGAGGCATTGGCAGGGGCAACAAAACCCTTATAGATTTCTTAAGTTTGTGACTCATGGTTTTCAATACTAAATTATGTATGACAGGAACCTCTTCAGGTTCCTCAGGGTACCCAGTGAAAAGCAAATGTTTGAGCGAATATGCCAGCATTTAGGATAAAATGCAAAAAAAAAAAAGCAGTTGGCCCTGGCTATGAGAAGCCCGGAGTTGACCACGTAGTCTTTTGTTCATGTTTCCCCAAGTATAACTTTCTTAACTCGTGACCAAAGAATCATTTATCCTCAGAAAGAATGTACTTCTTAATACTTTTCTTGGGGTTAATCCTGTAGGACCCGTGTTTAAAACAAGTAGCAAGGTATACCCCAATACAGGATCCTTTTAATTATGGAGGCTGATAATTATGGTAATTATTAGCAGTTTTAATTCACTGACACCAAGTCCCTCTTCTTCTAGCTGTCGTGGCCCTACCCTTTGGCTTAGATGGGAAAGGAAATTGGTTTTGACCAGTATGCTTTTTGAATTTCAGGAATAGTTGCTGTTCTCTTCTGTGGAGTCACGCAGGCACATTATACCTACAACAATCTGTCGTTGGATTCCAAAATGAGGACTAAACAGGTAAAAGAAAAAATTCACTACAGGCTTTGTCTCTTTTCACAGTGTAATGGTTATGTTGCAATTCTGCCAATGCACTCGGAAAGAATTTCATTAGTGAAGGAAGAAAGTAAGCTTAAGGCTTCATTATAGGTTGGATATTTATAGATTTTTTTTTCCTCCAGGATAACCATTAAAATTCTCTTGGTAAGCAAAAATATAGTTATAATAGTCTCTCCCTCCTGAGAAATGTGGAACATAGACTGTCAGTTTTGAAGATGAAAGGCCCACAGTCGGTAATAATTCACAGTCACTTACATCTAAAAGCGTTATAAAGCATGTGAGATTGGGTAGTTATATAGAGAGAAGGAAATGAAGAAGAATAAGGAAGCAATGTTTGGTCTTTAATTGGGTGCTTTCACTTCTAAGTAAACTCAGCTGCCAGTTGTCACACTAACGGAATGTATCTCCCATATGCCAAAAACGCATGTGTTTGGATATTTGGACATGAACCCTCAGATTGCTTACACAAACGTGCTGCACAGCCCCTCTGTGCCAAGCACTATGCTAGATACTAGGGATAAAAGGACATAGGCTATGACCTTGTCTTTAAGAGGTTCATTATCAAGTCTGTTGATGAGGATAAGGATGTGGAATGAACAATTAATTATCCACAGTGTGATACAGACTGTGATAGGAATATCTGTATAGGATGTTTGGGGAGCATTCATTAGGGCATCCTCTTTAGTTAGGATTGGGAAGGTGAAGAGAAAGTTTCCAGAGACGATGTCCGATCTGAAGCTTGAAGGACAAACAGAAGTCGATTAGGTAATCATGTGGGATCTAGTGGGTGGGAAGGTAGCATGAAGAGCATTTGAAGCCAAAGTTGAAGATGGACAAAAATCTCTGAAGCAATTGATCAAAGCACTGTAATTAGTTCCGTGTGGCTAGTGAATGGGATAAGGCAACAGTGAGGGATGAAACCACAGATAGAGCCAGAGACCAGCTTATGAGAGGACTTCCATACCTTGCGAAGGAGTGTTTAGACTTTGTCCTAAAGGTAATGGGGAGTGTCTTAACCAACAGAAATGTATCGTATGAGAAATGTAGAAGTCTAAGATCAAGATGTCAGCAGGATTAGTTCCTTCTGAAGGGCTGTGAGGGAGAATCTATTCTATTCCTCTCTCTTAGCTTCTGGTGGTTTTTGAGCAATCTTCGGTGTTCTTTAACTTGCAGACACGTCATCTTAATTTCAACCCTTCATGTTCACATGGCATTCTCTCTATGAATGTGTTTGTCTCCAAATGTCCCTTTTTTATAAGGACATCAGTCATATTAGATTAGAGGCCCACTCTACTCTACTATAACCTCATTTTAACTCAACTAATTATATTTTACATGACCCTATTTCCAAATAAGTCCACTTTCTGAGGTACTAAGGGTTAGGACTTCAAGATAGGAATTTGGGGGGAGGCCCCATTCAGCCCATAATGGGAAGCCACTGAAGGGTCTGAAACAAAGTAATTTTAGGATAATTGGAGTTCCATTTTAGAAATATGACTCTGGTAGACAAGAGGAGCCTGGATCAAATGACGTCTGGATCAGTTACCTTGTACTGTGTAACAAACAACCATACAGCCTAACCTCAGTAGCATCTGAAAATAACATTTATTTGTCACACATCTGCAGGATTTAAGTCTAGAGTGGGCTTGGCTGGGGCATGGGCTGGTGTCATCTGTCTGTCACTCTTCTCCTAGCAGAAGAGTAAGTCTTAAGGTGCAAGTCTACTTAAAGCCTCTGCTTGCATCACGTTTTCACATCCTATTGGCCAAAGAAAAGCATACGCCTGAGCCTATGGTCAAGAGACTGAGCAGGTCACCAGCCCACAGTGGGAGAGCACTGCAGGGTTATGTGGTAAGGAGTATGGATATAGAGAGTAATGAAGAATTGGACCAAATGATTGCAATCTACCCCAAAATGCAAATGGAGGCAGAGAATCTTCTATAATAAGCCCAACAATGCCGGGTATTTAATAAAATATTGGGACAGTGGGGGTAGAGAAAGCCAAAGTTACATCTGAGCAAAACCTGTAATTGGCCAGGAGTTCCTAAGTAGTTTTTGAAGATTTACCTTAAAAGCTCTCTAAAATGGTTATTAGCTTCCTCTTTCTCTTTGTCATGTCCCAAGCTCAGTGGGCCCTCACCCTACCTCCCACCTACCCAGGGACTCTCAGGTCACCCTTCCCCCTCTGACCATCAGAGGAATTATAAAGATGCAATTATAGATATTTTAAGGACCCATAGTTTTTAAAAATGAAAAAAAAATGATACCAATACCTAGAAACTCCAATGTAGTTTTAATTATGGAGACTACAGCATTCTCTAGGGTTTAAAGGGAAATGTCTTGGGCTGGCTTTTTCTGACCTTGTCTGGTTCTCTGAGCATTTGTATTCTGGGGAACTGAACTCTGGTTAGGGGCTCGCACTTTTAAGTCACGCTATCTAGACTGCTCAGCAGAACTTCAAAGATAACTCATCTCATGGCAAGACAGCAACCTAGCACCTAGGGGAGACAAAGCCAAAATCAGTGTCCCACAGCCTTCCCTTCTCATACCTTTCTTCATTTCTTTTCTCTCAGGATTCATCATCTTCTATTTCTCTTTCTCTCAAAGTACATGTATGTCTTGCATATGTACATATTTAGATACACATACATACCTCCATGCCCATATTTTCCACCCTAGTGTACAGAGTCTGAGGTCACCCTTTGAAAGAAACGATATTCAGCCCTTTAACTTCACAGATAAGAGGTTTGTGGCCCTATCTGTACCATGTAGCAAGCAAAGTTCAAACTCCATGTGGGAAACCAATTACAAATTGTAAAGAAAGGCTGAGGCAGGTATTATAGAGGTTACCACTATGTCCTCTCTGAAACTGGGAAAGATTTGGAAGTATTATATGATAATACATGGTTATAGAGAACAGTATCTTCCTTTGTACCTCCCCACACTGCGTTTACTGTCAGTGAGAAAAGTAGAAGTTACCCAGGCTCTGTGCCTCCGTCCCCAGAACTGTGTAATGGGAACAAAGGAAGTCAGTTAGTGAAGTCTAGGGACTATCTATGAAAATCCACTTTGTATTGTAAAATGCAAAGGCGATATGGTTTAGAAGAAAATTTTATTCATGGACTGTGCCTGTATCAGCTAATCAAATAGCTACATCTGGATACAGAGACTTTTGAGAATTATATATCCTTTATAGCTTCAAGAATTAGAGTGCCTTTTTAAAATTGCATTTTCACTTTAAAATATGTTTTGTGAATTGATTTTCACTCCAACCTATGAAAAAACATGTAACTAACATCACTATATGTTAGGCACAAAGCAGCATAACAGAGACACTCAGGTGCTGTTACTCACCACAAGGATTTATATTTTGATAGCAAATCATTCTATTAAAGAGTATACGAACATGTGCAGCAATCCCTTTCCCTGGACTTGCAGTGATCTGCTTCCTTTAGGGTATTCACACCTAGCCCTAGGAATAGACAAATACTGTAAGCCCTGACTCCTGCCCGAGAAACTGAACACTGCTAGAGGTACTCAAGATGGACATCAGCACATAGTAGTCTGTGAGCCTAGAGGTTTCACCTGAACTGTCCAGAAGACTGCATACAGACCATGATACTACTCACACAGATCCCAGCCTGCCTCCCAACGCTTTCCTCCTTCATGCCCTCACTTGCTAAGCAGGCCCAGGAGCTGGTAATCTAGGCCAAATTCCAGGGTGTTTCCATAGCTATCTTTACCTTGCCTGAGGCTAACTTGCAAAACCATGCACTTCTATACCAAACCTTTTAACTAGAATTTCTCCTTCCCTTCCTGCAGTTCCCGCCTAAAAATTATTTTCAACATATACACATTAATATAATATAAATTTAAATAATTAACATGTATTATGCATTAACATGTATGAAGTACTTATTTCATTTACTTTCTACTTACTTTTCTACATAAGAAGTAGCTCTCCTTATTATCACTGCTTACCTTCATTCATTTAACTAATATTTTTTGAGAGTCTTTTTTGTTCCAGTCACTGTTCAAGGTGCTGGGGTACAAGAGTGAACAAAAGAGAATTTCTTCTGGTAGAGGATATTTTTTTGTAATCAGAACAAATGTGCTAAATAGATAGTGTGTTTATGGTAAGTCATAAGGCCAATGATAAAGCAGAGAAGGGAATTAGGAGTGTAGGTATGGGGAGGCAGGGTTGCAATTTTGGATGGTCAGGGAAGGTCTCAATAAGAAAGTGATAACTGAAAGAAGTAAAAGAGAGAGTTATGTGGACATTTGGAGCAGAGCTGTCCAGAAATTGGGAATGACAGATACAGAGGCCACCTGAGGCAAAATGACCAATGTGGCTGAGGTAAAGTGGACCGGGGGAGAATATGACAGACAGTATCAAGGCAGTGACAGAAACAGGTCATGGAGAGCCTAAACGAGGTGAGGAAACATTGGAGGCTTTTAAGTAAAGGCATGGCATAATATGATTTAAATTTTAAAGAATGGAGGCATTATTTATTAGCCAAGGAGCACTGCAAGACAGCAGGTTTGAGGGACAATTCAAACAGAGTATTGACTTGTTACATTTGAGATGTGTATTAGTCAAAAAAAATGGAGCTGTTGAGTAGCTTGTTGGACAAAGAATTCCTGGGTTCAGGAGAGAGGTCGAGGTGAGAAGTATAATTTTGGATGTCATCAGCATAGAGATAATATTGAAAACATGAAACTAGGTGAGATGTCTAAGAGAGTAATGGGGAGAGAGCCAGAAACCAAGCCCTGAGGCATTCCAATGGTAAGACGTTGGGAACCAGCAAAGGAGTTTGAGAGATAGTAGCCAGTAGGGAGAAGGAAAATAAAGAAAATATGGTGTCCTGGAACTCAAATGAAGAGAGTGTCTCAAGAAGGAGCATGATGAATTGTGCCAAATTTTGCTGAATGGTCAAGTAAGATGAAGAGCATGAACATCA